ATCTCATAGACTATTTTATATGATAACCCTTTTATTTTTAATTGTATAGATTGATGAAAAATATGTGATCTGAAGATCAATGAAGATAGGCGAAGGATAGATGGTGAAAGCAGTGTGAATCGATGTTCTAAAAAGCAGTCTAGACAGCTAGCCAGCACCACGATTAATTACTAAACGGTTAGAAAATCAAGTATGGCATCTACATGGGTCTAGGCAGAATAAGTGTTTGTTTTTTTTTTTTTAATTAACCTTGAGTCTTGACTCACCCTTTCCCAGACAGAAAAAGGAAACCAAGAATGCGATGTGGTCGTCTCTCTTTGCAATAGTTCTTTGATGATTTCAATAAATTGTAGTACTTTATATAATTTATTTATATTTATATTTTTCATTTTAAGTTTCCCCATTACAATTATAATTTTTACTTATTTATATTTTTTTAAATATATATGCACTTATTTGTATGTCATATAATAAATTTAATTAAGATATAAAAAAAATCTTAGGACACTAGTTAGAACCCTACCCGCCGTTCGATAACGCCCTAGCGATATTTAAAACATTGGTGTGAACGGAATATGTCTGGAAATCAAACACAATTTCTTGATTATGCTCCCTCAGCTGATTTTTATAACGTCCTTTTGATTATTCCTTCGAATGGTGTAAAGCCCAGGTTTGGATGTTATAATCCACAACCCTTAGGTTCCATAAATTTTCCGAAGGCTGGATGAGGCGCTGAACTTCCAGGTTAGGAGTCCATGTCCCCACGCTCATAGGCCTCCTATCGTAACCTCACTTAATGGGGCTCAATCCTCCGAAGCTGCTAACCGAACATGACGAAATGGGCTAAAAGAAACTCCTCTAATACTATCAATTTGGATTTTTTAGATTCTTCTAACATCATATATATTGATAAGTAAATATGGATGTAAATGAATCTGTAAAAAAAAACAAATGAAATGACTTAAATTAATCCTTGTGATGTAATGAAAAAATCCTTTTGATAAGCATGCATCACTTTTGGTTATGTTGGAGTTTCTAGAAATGAGGAGTTGGTTAAGTAAACTAGAATAGGTTAGGTGGTTTGCATCCAGTGTGTTATCAATTAGTACATTAAAGAAAAAACAAAAACTAAAGGACCAGAAAACTAAACACGTCAAAAGAAATGGGTTTCTTTACCTTCTGCACTCCTAAATTTAGACCCATACCCGTTCCTTGAGTTGTTTATAAATATGATCTCCATTCATCCATTCCATAAATCAAACAAATATTTGAAATCACTTCATCAATTTAAGAAACATACCCCTTGAGAAATGGACTCCTCAATCGGATATGCAACTTTCATTGCATCATTGCTCTTATGTCTTTCATTGTCTCCAACACCATTTGCAAATGCAAGAGCGTCTCCATTAATTAGAAGCGTTTGCAAGCAAACCCAAGACCAATTCGGCTACAACTACAAGCAATGCGTAAAATCTCTTTGGAAAGATATTCCAACTCGATCAGCATCTAATCTCAAAGATCTTGACACAACCATTCTTAAATTAGCACTAACAAATGCACAACAAAGCAAAGCTTTCTTTGTCAATGCGCTTAACACCACTGGCAACAATATTGTTAAGGGCTCCGGAGCAGTAAAACAATGTGCAGATTCATATGATTTTGCAGTTGACGGTTTTGCTTTCTCAATGCGAGGGATCAAAGATAATGACAAATCGGTCTCCCAAATACTCACACAAGTACAAGACGAAATTGTTCGTTGCGGAAATGCATTGACCTCTACCGAAATTGAACTTCCTTATTTAGTATCTTCGACAAACTTTTTGACCATGTTATATAGGGATGTTGCATTCCTCATTACTTCCCAGTTATTCCATATCTAGAAAAGATACGTGAACAATGTATTAAATTTAGTACGCATTACTTGAATACTAAATAATATACATATGATTACTCTATATTTAATTTGTAAAAGAAATGAAAATGAAAAATTACTGTTTGAAAAGAAAAAGTTGTTTTAATATTGAATCCTTCTGTGTTGCTCTTTTGGTTGTCCATATTACACATATAGCCAAATATACTACACTACACGTTGAATTCTTAGGAACACAATCTGCTATGCATCTCTAATCTTAACAGCATCAGTGGAAACTTTCAAACTATAATTCTTTTATTGATTATTCAAATTTGAATAGATGAAGAAAAAAAGGCATGGCAATGTGCATATATAACCATGATAGCATTTCCGATGACCGCACAACATGGAGTCACATTGATACTGATACAATTACACTTTTGAGTTTTGAGGTTTTGATTTTCTTTTTCTCCACTTTTCTACTGCTTCCAGTTTTCAATGAGTTTTGGGTACATAATCATACCAAAAAAAGCCAATTGTCAAGAAAGAGTTCTAAAGTTTGGTCACGTCGAGCACCCTTCCGTTGATAGGAAAGTGAAGACTTGAGTTCAAAGACGAAGTTGGCTCGCTAATTGAATTGTCGCGGTGCTGTGAAATCTCGACCTCCATATGTATCCGTGCAAGAAAGAAACAAAATTTGTTGAGGCGGGTTGGAATTTCAACAATTCAAAGAAAAAATCGCGTTCCACCACACTACTTCCAACTCAAGGTCTGGTGTCAATATGCTGACTCTCCTAGAAGCGAAGGGCAGTACTTTTCACCATTAGAAAATTGGTGGGTGCATTCCAGCAAGTCGTATTCCTCTTTAAGAGACTCGTAAAACCTTAATATCGATCACATCCGTTGTAGCAGAAATAAGTTTCAATTAGATCTTATTTCTTTTAGGGAAATTCTATTTAAACCCATCTAACCTATTTCTACACCCAATTTACTCTTTGCACCCATTGGATTTTTAACTAAACTATTAATATCTCTTTAAACCCAAATTTGATACCTAATATACCCCCAAAAACCCAATTCAATATGTGGATTTATTTTTACACCCATTTTGTAAGATCTCACATCGCCCAGGGGAGTTATCCTTATATGTATATTCTCATCCCTACCTAGCATGAGGCATTTTGGGAGCTCATTGGCTTCGGGTTCCATCGAAACTCCGAAGTTAAGCGAGTAGCGCGCTAGAGCAATCCCATGATGGGTGACCCACTGGGAAGTTCTCGTGTGAGTTCCCAGAAACAAAACCATGAGGGCATAGTTGGGGCCCAAAGCGGACAATATCGTGCTACAGTGATGGAGCGAGCCCAGGATATGGTTGACCTCGGGCCGGGATGTGGCACATTAGTATCAGAGCCTAACCCTGGTCGTGGTGTGCCGACGAGGTCGTCGAGCCCCTTTAGGGGGGTGGATTGTAAGATCCCACATCGTCCAGGGGAGTGATCCTTATATGTATATTTCCATCCCTACCTAGCATGAGGCATTTTGGGAGCTCATTGGCTTCGGGTTCCATCGGAACTCCGAAGTTAAGCGAGTAGTGCGCTAGAGTAATCCTATGATGGGTGACCCACTGGGAAGTTCTCGTGTGAGTTCCCAGAAACAAAACCGTGAGTGCATAGTCGGGGCCCAAAATAGACAATATCGTGCTACAATTGTGGAGCGGGCCCAGGATGTGCTGGACCCCGGGCCGGGATGTGTCACATTTGATTTTTAGAAGCTAAATTTGATGTGGTTAGACCTAATTTCTTTGCATGGTTTTCCACAACTCAAAAGCTGATAATTCAATTATTACTTACAGAATATGCCTGCATGTTAAAAATCACTGCGAAAAGCGATGTGTATAGTTATGGGGTTGTCCTTTTGGAGATCATAACTGGGAAAATGCCAGTGAACCCATCATTCACAAACAACCCCAACATCAGCACGCATGTCATATCATCCTCATCAATGTCTCCATCCATTCTAGAGTCAACAGCTTCAAGGATCTTTCCTCTGCTATAAAGATCCCACAGCCAATACACTATGATGTTGTTGTAGTTGTTCTGTTCATTTTGATTACCAGACTTTTGTCCACATGCAACTTCTAGCATAAGAACACCAAATGCATAAACATCCGTCTCAACATTAGCCCTTCCAATAAGAAATGTCTCCGGAGCCATGTAGCCTGGCGTTCCTACAATCTCATCTTCTAAACTCTAAATAATTGAAATCAAACGAACAAAAAATTCATAAATTGAGTCATACCTTGGTTGGAGAATTCAAAACTTCAAAATCACCATCCATCAATAGAAAAACATATTTTTCTCTATGAGAGCCATCAGGGTTTTAGCCAGAATGAACGTAGGATAAACAAAGAATGAACGTATGGTTTAATTATAGTGTTTGGATTTATTGATAAATTTGAGTTTTATTATTAATTTCATTTTGTACTTAATAGTAATTATGCAATGAGGTAAAATAGACAATTAACATTTAAAATTTTAAGTTGGGTGTTAAAAGAGGTTGAATGGGTTTAAATAAAATTTCCCTTTCTTTTATGGCCAACTCATGACATCATGAATTTGACGGGTGGTGTTGGAAAATATAAAGAAAAGTATTTTAGAGATTTGATTTGATATGATTTTATTTTATTTGGTCTAGGTTTCCTTATCTTGTGGACAATGATTGTTTTGATTTACTTCCTAGTATTCCTCTTTTGTAATCTTATAAACACCTCCTTATAGAGAATAATAAAATATTGAAATTGTATTCGAAAATTATGATATTGTAAATAACTCTAAAGTTATCTTAAATCTTTTATTTTCAATTTAGTATCAGAACAGAGTTCGTTTACAGGCTTTGATGGTTGATGGGCTGGGGTTGTACAAACGGATTGGCATTGACCATGAGTCAAATAACAACCGTTTTTTACCCGTTCCCTATTCTATCATGTTCCGGTTTGAGCGATGGAGGCTTGAAAAAATGTCCTGAAATGAAGGATCTTACAGGAACCAAGAGCCAAGCAAAAAAAAGTTTGCTAAATTTGGAAAAACCCCTAAATCCAGAGCTGCAGAGCAACACACACACAAAGCAAAGATTGTGTGAGATACATTCATCGGCAAAACTTTGACCCCCTCCCTCCTTTGCTCTTTCATTTCTACCTCTCATTTTCTTACGGTTTTGAAATCGTCGTCCATCTCAAAAATTCTGTATCTTTCATTCCGTTTCCGAAACTCGATTTTCCCTTGTTTTTAAAATGCGGGTTTGCTTTCGTTTCTCCATTTCTCCTTTCCTAGCCCTAGAGCTGCCCAAATTGTAATCCTAGTGCTGCCAAAGTTGTGATAAGTTTGAATGTAATATCATCCGAATCTTTTGAATTTGTTTTCTTTAGCGAAACCAGATTTTCATCAATTTTTACAATGCGGGTTGGATTTTGTTTACGCAGTTCTGCATTTGTAGTACTAGTGCTGCCCAAATTGTTCTAGGTTTGAATGTAGTAAATTGCTCACTTAGTTTTGTACATTTTGGGGTTTCTGTTTTTTCGAGATTTTGTTCAAAAAGGTAGATATGGCTGTCGGAGCAGAGGCTGTACTAGTTTGTGTATGGAGATTTGTTAAGTTTTCCATGAAAACTAGTAGCCTATGTGTGCAGAAGCATCCATTTATTTCAGCCACTTTGTTCTTCTGCTACCTCTTTTATGTATTTTTCAATCTTTTTGTCTTCTGGTTTCCGTTTCTTGTCTGCATTGCTGTTCTTGTTAGATTGTTTTACTCTTCCGGAGGACTCACATTCCTAGAAGAGGTCAAACGGGATGAGAAACGGAGTAGTAATGATCAAGTGCCGTGTGTAAAACCCGATCAACCTGTTGGAGGTGGTGATGTTGTCAACCGAGATGGGAGCTCCTTCACTAGACAGAAAAGCAGACGAACAAATGTTTCGAGAAGGTGCATAGAAGCTGGTGCGCAAGATTATTATAATGTGGGGAAAAACATTTCTATTTCAAAAACTTTGAATGGTGGTTTGATTGGTGGAACTGCATTGATTGACAGAAGCAAGAAAGCAGTCGTGGAGGAGAAAGCTAAATGTGGTTTTGATCAGGGAGAGAGTTCCGCGGCAAAAGCATCAGCGGAAGAAAGTATTCAGGCTCTCGTTGAGCAGCACCATTCGGTCCTAGATTCCGACATTTCAGAATCTCAGTTGTTGTCGTCTGATGACTCAGATGAACAACCGGACAAATTAGAAGGCGACGGGACTAGTAGAGGAGAGGCACAAGAGAGTGGAAACAAGGCGGTGCAGTGGACAGACGATGATCAGAGAAATCTCATGGATCTCGGGCTTTCGGAGATAGAAAGGAACAAAAGGCTGGAAAGTTTGATTGCCAGAAGAAGAGCAAGAAAGTTGTTCAAAATGCAGGTTGAGAAAGGTCTGATTGACTTGGATACTATCATACCAGGTCAGATTGCTCCAATTTTAATTTCGAAAAACCACCCCGTCGATTATGCGAAATTAGCTTCTAGTGATTTGGACACACCTGGTTCAGCCCCTTCCATTTTGTTACCAATGCAAAATCCATTTGATCTTCCGTACGATCCACAAGAAGAGAAGCCGAACCTTATGGCGGATAGTTTCCAACAAGAATTCACGGCAGCTCACCAGAAGGAAATGCTATTTTGCCGGCACGAGAGCTTCTCTTTGGGAGCTGCTTCTTATCCATTGGAACCCAAGAGAAAATCATTGGATGGATTGGGGTGCTCCAGATTTAAAAAACAATTAGGTGAGACGAGCTTTTTGTGTTTCCCACTTTCGAAATTTTTTTATTGCCTGTGGTTCAAGTTATGGTTCTTAACTGCATCCATATTTCTTTTTCTCTGCAGAGATAGGACCTCACGATAGGCATATCGAAAGAATGTTGTCGGGTAAGCATGACGAAGTTATTGAAGCTCTGTTGTCAAAAGCACGCGAGAACATGTCCGACATTGGCAACGGTGCTGATACAGCTGAAAGCATAACTGAATCCCCTCTTCCGGCAACAAGCTCAGTGGAACCGAAAGATGAAGGAAACAGAGAAACTCAGAGGGTGATCGATACAACAGCATCGAACAAGAAGGAAAATAAAAGTGTAGAGATGCAGCCACACGTAACTGATGACAGCAACGACGAGTCAAGCTCAACTTCATACTCCGAAGACGATGAACAGAGTTTTCATTTTGCTAGACCTGGACCCTCTCAAAATGCAGGATCAAAATTGAGGCGTATTCCACCAAAACCCCTAGATTGTTCGATTCCTAAGAGCAAATCTGCGAAGGAGCCGTTGCATGATTCTAGCCCGTCTGCGCACGAAAGAAGCAGGTTGGAAGAACGCTTGTTTTATTCTGAAAGGGGTGCTTGTCATACTCCTACATACTCTATAGCTTCTGACCTACAGGTTGAGGTTTCGGAGGTTGGTTCACCTCCGCTGACAGACGGGGCCAATTCACCAACGGATAGAGAATCCGTGACATTGGATGGCGACTTTGAAAAAGAGTACATGTGGGCAGCGTCGTCTCAATCATCAAAAACAGAAGAAAGTGAATCAAAACCGAGGGACGTGCGTGGACTCAGCGAGAAGGACCTTGCAAGCATCAGATTTTCGGGAAACAATAAGAACAGCAAGGATGCTGCTGAATCATCATCGATGCAACCAGATGAACTGGATGATGTGTGCTCGTTGTCATCTTCAATAACAGAAATATATGGAGACGGGCAAGCCCATTCGTTGAGTTATAATGGAAAGAGTTACGATGATGTCGGGCAAGCAGTCGAAAAAGTTAGAAAGCTAAGGGCTTCTAGCTCATGCAATGTACTTTCACTCGAAAATCAAGACGAAACAATGAAATCGAATGAACAGCGGGTGGCTCATCCTTCTGCAAAACTAGAGGTCGGTGCTTTTATGTTGTGATAGAGTAATGTGGCTGAAAAAAATTCTAATAGAAATTAAGAAATGAGTAGTTCAAATTCTGTAGAATTTTTTATGTGTATTTCATGAAGAAACAATTACAAATGAAACATATATATAGGAAAAGAAAGTAGACATAAGCCTAACTTCACTAGTCATCCAACATGTTTATTTCATGCATGCATTTTACACAAAGAATGTTGACTAGCCTAACTTCACTAGTCATCCAACATGTTTATTTCATGAATGCATTTTAACACAAGATATGACTTGCATGCATTCTTCCAACAAATTCCAACCAAAGTAAATCACCCAAGTTTGAGCCCATATTCTCGTAGACTCGTGTAAATATCTTTCTATCTGCTAAAAGACTTCCAATTAATCTTTTACATGCAAATACCTCTCTCTCTCTCTCTCTCTCTGATCAGTTTGGATATTGAACAGGAAACGAATCCTCCTGATGAGACGACAAAGAAGGTGAACCCGCCAGCAGCCAATGCTACTCATAGTTTGAAAGATGAGAAGATGAATGCAGGCAGAGACGGTGGAGACCAGATATTGATTAAGCAAGAGATTGTGGGAGAGCCGTCAAAGGCAAAGGAGGGGACTATTTCAGTATCTAGCAGGCATTTGGAGGGAATTTCTGCGAATACTGCCGAACGTGAAGCTTCCTTGGACACTAAGCATCCTACCAAGGACAATAAGAATTCAAATCGTATTAAGGGAGATCTTCAACAGGAAACTGAAAATGACGACAAAAAAGAACTTGATGCGAAAATAAACTCAAACCCAACTCAAGGCAGAAAGGATGAGCAAGGTATCGTGGAATGTGGAGTTTCTGGTGATCTTAATGCATCAGCTATGCAGAAAGATCTGGTGATTGAAGATGTTGCTGTTGCATCCACTTCTTCTTCATCATCATCATTATCTCCGACATCTGTGTTACTGGAAGATATCTCAAGGGATCAAGCATCCTCGTCAAATTACAATCCTGAAAGACAAATTGGTGCCCCGGAATCTGAGGTGGGAGGCAACGTGAAAAATGATTCATCCACAGTGAAGCCACATGACAGCACATTGTTGACGCCTCAAACTGCAATGCAACCTGTTCACGAATCAACTAGTGACCGATCAAATACAACTGACTCAAAGAAGTCGCAGGTTTGTAACTCCAAGCAACTAAAGATACATGCTTTCAATCGGATTTTATGACTTTTTGTTTCTCTAGTAACATGTTCTCTCATGATTTGTGGAATCAAAATTGTAATTAAAATTAAAACGATTTGACTGATGCTTACATTTCATATAACAGAAACAATGTATGCCTCCAGAGAAGTCCACCGAGGAAGCCAACATCGTACTGACTGAGCAAGCTGAAGAAATTGGAGATTTATCACAAAAAGTGAGAGAAGCAACTTCGGAATTGAAAAAACAAGCTGAGGAAATTGGAAAAGTATATGAAAAAGCAAAAGAAGCTGCTGCAGAACTTAAAAAACCAGCTGAAGAAACAGGAATTTTGTCACAAAAGGCAACGGAGGAGGCTACTTTAGACTTGAAAAAATCAGCCGAAGAAATTGGGAGCGCGACACAAAAAGCAAGAGAGGTTGTTGCTGAGTTGAAAAAGCCAACTGAAGAAATTGTAAATGTGTCACAAAGGGCAACAGAAGCTGCTGCAGAATTGATAAAACCAGCTGAAGCAATCAAACATAGTTCGGAAAAGGCCACAAAGGTTGATGCAGATTTGAAGCAACCAGTTGAAGCTACATCCAATGAATCACAAAAAGCAACAAAAGCTGCTACGCAGTCGAAAATACCTGTTGAGGAAGTTGAAGATGTATCGGCAAAAGCAACAAAGGTTGGTGCAGACATAAACAAACCTGTTGAAAAAATAGGAAATATATCACAAAAAACAACAGAAGCTGCTTTAGAATTGAAAAAACCGAGCGATGAAATTGGAAGTGCATCAACAAAAGAAGCCAGGGCTCCTGCAGAGGTGAAAAAACCGGCTCAAGAAATTGGAAATGTGTCACAAAAAGCAACAGAGGTTCCGGTGCAACTGAAAATACCATCTGAAGAAGTTGGAAGTATATCTCAGAAAGCAAGTGATGCTCCTGCAAAATTGAAACATCCATCCGAAGAAATTGGAAGTGTCTCACAAAAAGCAAGCAAGGTTCCTTCAGAACTGAAAAAACCGGCAGAAGAAATTGGAAGTGTATTGCAAAAATCATCACAGACAGCCAAAGAATCAAAAGAACTAGCTGAAAAAATTGAAAACGTACAAGGAAAAAAAATAGAGGCAGTAGCAGAGTTGAAAAAACCAGCTGAGGAAATTGGGAACGTTTCAATGGGAGCAACTGCAGAATTGGAAAAACCGGTTGAAAAGGTTAGGAGTGAATCACAAAGAGCAACTGAGGGTACTGTAGAGCTGAAAATTTTCGGGGAAGAAGTTGGAAGTGCATCACAAAAAGAGACAGAGGATCGTGCAATATCAAACAAATCATCTGAAGAAATCCAAAGCGGATCACAGAAAATGACAGAGGCTCTAGAAAAAATAAAAAATCCAATTGAAGAAATAGGTAATGTGTTACAACAAGCAACAATGACTGGCCTAGAATCGATACTACCAGCTAAAGGAACTGGAAATCTACCACAAAAAACATCAGTGGTTGCTGCAGAATCAAAAAAATCAGCCGAAAATGTGTTGGGGAAAACGACAGAGGATAGTACAGAATTGAAAAAACCACCGGAAGAAGTCCGAAGTGTTTCTCAAACAGAAACAGACGCATCCACAAAAATGAAAGAAACAGCTGAAGAAACCGGAAGTGTACCATTGAAAGCAACTGAGGCTGCTTCAGAAATGAAAAAACCTGCAGAAGAAACTGGGAGTGTATCGACAAAAGCAACTAAGGTCCCAACAGAATTAAAAAGGCAAACTGAAGAAATTGCCGGTGCGTCACAAAAAGCAGTAGAGATTCCTGGAGAATTGAAAAGGCCGGCTGAAGAAATAAGAATGGGATCGGAAAAATCAATTGAGTCTGCAGCAGAATTGAAAAAACCAGCAAAAGAAAACGAAGCAGCGTCACAAAAGGTAGTAGAGATTCCGAGAGAACTGAAAAGGCCAGCTGAAGAAAAAGGAATTGGCTCAGAAAAATCAATAGAGTCTGTAGCAGAATTGAAAAGAACAGATAAAGAAAGTGAAGCAACGTCACAAAAAGCAGTAGAGATTCCGAGAGAACTGAAAAGGCCAGCTGAAGAAAAAGAAATTGGATCAGAAAAATCAATAGAGTCCGCAGTAGAATTGAAAAAACCAGCTAAAGAAAGCGAATCAGCGTCACAAAAAGCAGCAGAGATTTCGAGAGAACTGAAAAGGCCAGCTGAAGAAATAGGAATTGGATCGGAAAAATCAATAGAGTCTGCAACAGAATTGAAAAAACCAGCTAAAGAAACCAAAGATGTGTCACAAGAAACATCAGATCCTGCTACTAATTTAAACAAACAAGTTAAAGCAAGTGAAGACGCGTCACAAAAAGCATCGGAGCCTGTTGCAGTATTGAAAAAAACAACTGAAGAAAGTGGAAATGTTTCGCATAAAGCAACTGGGGTTTCTTCAGATGGAAAAACTGATAATGGAGCACATAACGCTACTGATGAAGCTATTGAGGTGAAAAAGCCGATTGAAAAAATTGTAAATGCGTCAACAAAAGCTACAGAGGTTGCTCCCGGATTGAAAAAACCAACCACTGAGGCTACTGCAGAACTGAAAAAACAAGTTGAAGAGATCAAAACTTGACAAAGATTCTAGTGAAGAAATAGAAATGTATCATGAACAACAACCAAGGTAAAGAAAGTATACATTCCACGAAAATAATGTTTTTTCTTCTTGGTGATTCGGTGAATAAGCAAACATTTTACAGACCTCATTATTCTACAAACCTCATATATAAGAAAACGTTTTATATAACTCACATACTCACAACATTAATTTTGTTCTCTCTTTAGAAGCTGGAAGAGCAGAATCTTATATACATTGAGTTTTTGAGACTAACAAATCCAAAACTTGTTAAATTGAACAGGTACTCGAAGATTCTCCCAAGAAAGACTCTTGAAGAAGTTACTAATGAAGTTGATGATCGAGTAGTCGGTGACAAGGAATTCCAGAACAAGTTAGGAAACGTTAGTCTGTAGATCGAGGTGCAGGTGGACTTCAAAGCCAGCTGATGCCAGAGGCAAATTAGAAGCCATCCAAGATGTAGAGTGTGGGTCTAAAACTTCTAAAATATGAACAGGCTGTTGATCGATCAAGCCGAAACAGTAAAAAGTTGTATAATGATCCATGTAACCGCTGTATAATAATAGATAATATGGTGTTCAATAACAATTTACCAGATTTATTTGGCTCTCCCGAGGATTAGAGTAAGAAACCTTTGTGTGTTTCAAATATTTGTAACATATCAAAATTCTTTTGTATTTCCCCTTTTTTTGGGAATTAAATGTGGATATATTTGTTATAAATAGGCAAAAGTTAGAGAAGGAAAAAGAGTACAACTTTACCTGGATTGTTGATATGGTGTTAAGCATGCTTATGTTGCCTCGTTAAAACCTTGATAGGAAAAATCCAGTGGGAAAAATCCTAATCAAAGGAAAAAGAGTACAACATGCATGTATCATGGATGATCCCTCTGAATTGTATCTCCCCCTGATTCCGCATTCTTCAAATTTGTAAGCCGACGTAATCCGATTCCCTACACTAACTTCTGAAATGTGCACTTTGGTAGAGATTTGGTGAACAAGTCTACTAAATTTTCATTGGAACGGATTTGTCTAACTTCAATAACTTTAGCCTTCTGAAGCTCATGTGCACTGAAAAATCTTAGAGATATGTGTTTAGTCTTATCACCCTTGATGAATCATTCCTTCATCTGGGCGACACAGGTTACATTATCTTCATGGATGATAGTTGGAGTGTCTGTCTTTGAAGGTAGACCACATAAATTTCGGATGTGATGGATCATTGATCTTAACCAAGAACATTCACGACTTGCTTCATGTAAAGCAATTATTTCCTAGTGATTGGAAGATGTAGCAACTAACGTTTGCTTCGTTGATCGTCATGAAATTGCAGTATCCCCATTAGTGAACACATATCCATTTTGTGAGCGGGCTTTATGCGGATCGGAGAAAAAACCAGCATCTGCTTATCCAACAAGGATCTGGTCATTTGTGGCCTTGTCTGAGTATAAGAGACTCATATCTGTTGTCCCACAAATGTATCGTAGAACATCTTTGACTCTCTTCTAATGACAAATTGTTGGAGCAGAGCTATAACTGGCTAACAAGTTAACTGAAAAAGCTATGTCTAGTACATTGTGCTAAATACAATAAAGCACCTATTGCGCTCAAATATGGTACTTCTGGACCAAGGACCAGTTCATCATCTTCTTTTGGACAAAATGGATCTTTCTTAATGTCCAAAGAACGAATGACCATTGGGGTGCTAAGTGGATAAGCCTTGTCCATGCTGATAAGAGCATATTTATGCAACTTAGTTTGCTTATTTTCTTGCATTTTCATAGTTAGTTTGTGTTTATCATAGTGATTTAAGCTATTTTCGTATGTTTGTAGGTCCAATTGGCAAAGTTGGCAAGAAAGTGCATTTTGAAGCATTTTAGAGCAATTTTGGGCTGGATTGGATTGCATGCATGTGGAGCACAAGGAATGAACGTTTTTTAATATCAAATGAAGCGAGGAATGTGCTAAAGAGATGGAGAAATTAATTCAAGACTTCGAAAATGAGTAATCAGCTACAAGGGGACCTAAATCCCTTCTAGAAGGCCTATCCATTCTCTTATACATGTGCCGCACCCACCTTTCTAGAAGACCTAGAAAGGTGGCGCCCCAAACCCTTCTAGAAGTCCCAATTTCTGCACAAAACATTTTCTTTCTAGAAGCCCTAGAAAGGTGGCGCCCCAAACCCTTCTAGAAACCCTAAAATCTTCCAGAAACCCTAGTTATTTTCCTCCTTGGATTGGGCCAAGCCTTGTGCCGCAAACCCTAAGCCTTTTCCTCTAGAAATTCTGCCAAACCCTAGCCTATAAATATATGTTTTCAGCCATAATTTCGATTACCACCCCACATATAATTCTACACCCCCTTTCAGCCGCAAAAACACCAAATTACACCCTTTGCTGCAACTTTGGAGAAGAAAAAGCCTTTGCCGTGCCTTCCATTGGAGAAGGAGGACCTTGTGCGCAAGCCACCTACAATCATTGGAGTTCTAAGAGTTATTTCTTCCCTCGGTTCGTTTCCATGTTTATTTTCTGTTGCTTTTCAATTATTATGAACATGTGGAACTAATTTCGTTTTAGTTAGAGGTGAATTCGAAGCCATGGACATATGTTTAATATGAATTGATTACTTTCAGTTATTGTTTCGTAAAACATGAATGTGATTTACTTATTTGCGTTATTGAGAACCTATTCTTGTGTTGATTGAGGATGTATATTTAGTTTGCATGCAGGGATTTGATGCTAGATTATAAGGGAATTTCACCTAATCGTTATGAACTTATAATTAAAAGTAGTGGAGATTGCTAGTCACAATAGTGTTAAGTAGATTCTTGGCAGGAGTGTCATGCAGTTCGTAGTTACGATTGTCTTGTCAATACTTATGATTTTCATAGAACGTAATGATTTTTTATATGTATCTCTATCATGTTGTTCATTGATATGTATCTCTATCATGTTGTTCATATAGGGAACTTGATAAGAATAATTCGGTTGTGATGCGTTGTCCATTCATTTCAATGAACTTAGGAAATCTGAAAGTTAATTAGTGCGTCCACAATTAATTTGAGGCATTTTCATTCATGGTTTGAAGAAACAATACTAGAAATCAATTTATGTGCATATGTTTCATGTGTGGAGAATGACCCTCTAACTAGCTTTTCACCCTTGAATTCATCTTAATCTCGTTTTAACTTACTTTGTTTGCTGCAATTTACTTAGTTTGGTCAAATTCGTCTAAAAACCCCCTCAGTTCGTATTTAGTGTCTTAGTTTAGTTAATTTCGTTTAAATCTTTCCCCATTTAGTATTTTGAGTCAAGTTAGTTTAGAATTCGTCCAAATCACTCTTTAGTAGTTGTTTTGAGTTTTTTTAACTTAGTTTTGCTGTTTTGAGTCAATTTGGTCAGTTTTGAGTCATAAGAGTCTAGTTTTATGTTTTTGAGTCTAGTTTAGTGTTTTAGAGTTTAATTTGTGTAGATTAGCAGCCCTTTTAATCCCCAACCTAAAACGATCCCTACTTTCATATACTACAATCATAGGGTTTTAATTTGAGTGTCAAAATTTTTCACACCACATGCCAAATCGCTTCAGTATTTTTTCAATGTAAGCTGATTGATGAACCAAAATTCCATTAGCACAATGCTCTATCTGCAGGCCGAGACAATATTTTATTTTCCCAAGGTCTTTCATTTCAAATTCGCTTTTCAAATATTCAGCAGTTTTATTGACCTCTTCAAGGGTTCCAACTAGGTTCATATCATCGACATATACTGCCACTATAGCAAATCCAGTATTTGATTTCTTAATGAACACACAAGGGCAGATGACATTGTTGATATATCCTTCTTAGATCAAATACTCACTGAGACAATTATACCACATTCGTTCATATTGTTTTAGCCCATATAGTGATCGCCTTAATTTGATTAAGAACATACCTTGTGGTTTGTTAATTGCTTCAGGCAACTTAAGTCCTTCTGGGACTTTCATATATATCTTAGTATCTAATTCTCCATATAGATACGCGATAATGACATCCATAAGTCGCATGTCAAGTTTTTCTGAAATCACCAACTTATAGTAACGGAACGTAATTGCGTCTATTACAGGAGAGTATGTCTCTTCATAATCAATTCCAGGTCTTTGTGAAAAACTTTGTGCAACGAGTCGTGCTTTATATCTTGCAATCTCATTTTTCTCGTTGCATTTCCTTGTGAATACCCATTTGTAACTTACAGGGTTCACACCAGACGGAGTTTGGACTACTGGTCCAAAAACACTTTGTCTTTCCAAGGAATTTAATTCTGCCTGGATTGCATCTTTCCACTTAGGCCAATCATGTCTCTGCTTGCATTCATCAACAGAGCAAGGTTCAATGTCATCGCTTAATATAATTTCAGTGGCTATTGCAAATGCAAACATGTCGTCAATGATTATTTCATTTCGATCCCACAATTCATTAGTATATGCATAATTTATGGATATTTCTTTGTTTTCATGTACTTCTGTCTCTTCAGGGACAGGTGTCTTATCAAGGACAATTTCTTTTTCTAGAAGTACAGAATCATGAATTGTGGATTTATGATTCATTTTCTTTTCCTGAATGATTTCATTTGGGTTCAACTGTGCCCTCATCTTTCTCTTTCGAGAGGCTGAATCTTTTGAACCTGAGGGTCTACCATGCTTCAGGCATGCACTGGATGAATCATTCGCTGCCACTTTATTTTGTCCAACAAGGACATCAATTCTTACAGGTGTATTTGCAGCTGGTATATGTGACTTTGTCACTTTCGAAGCATCATTAAATGCATCTAGCATTTGATTAGCAATACCTTGAAGATGAACGATCATTTTCACTTCATTTTCACATTGAGTGCTTCGTGGATCAAAATGAGATAAGGTGGGAACAACCCATGTCAACTTTTGTCGTTCTTATGGAACAGTCTTTTATCCCCCTAACGACGGGAAGATTGTCTAATCAAAATGACAATAAGCAAAACGAGTCGTAAACATATCACCAGTCAAAGGTTCTAAATATCTAATGATATATGGTGAATCAAAACTACATAAATTCCCAGTCTGCGATGAGGTCCCATTTTAGTTCGTTGTGGCGATGTAATAGGCACATAAACAGTACAACCAAAAACTCATAAATGTGAAATGTTTGGCTGATGTCCAAACACGAGTTGTATTGATAAGTATTGGTGGCTGTCTATGGGTCTCAGTCGAACCAATGATGCTGCATGTAAGATGGCATGTCCCTATGCAGAGACTGGCAATTTCGTTTTCATGAGCAGAGTGCGAGCTATTAATTGAAGCCGCTTGATAAATGCCTCTGCTAAACCATTTTGAGTATGGACATAAGGAACAGAATGTTCAACATCAATGCCCAGTGCCATGTAGTAATCATCAAAGGTTTGAGACGTAAATTCATCAGCGTTATCAAGTCGACTTGACTTAATGGGATGATCTGGGAACTGTGCTCACAACTTAATTATTTGAGCAAGAAGTCTCGCAAAAGCTACATTTCAAGTAGACAATAGGCAAGCATGTGACCATCGAGTAGATGCATCGACTAAAACCATAAAATATCGAAATGGTCCACAAGGTGGTTGAATAGGTCCACAA